CAGTTTTTTGCAAGTGTCTTAATCTTACCTATCTCCTTTGTTTTCACTGAAAATGGTACAACATTTCACGTGTACATTTATACAGATTAACCTGGCTGCTGACCCAAGGCATCCTGCATTGGCAGTGTTTAAAATTCACAGTCTTGTTGGTAACTGCAGTGTGTTGTGCCTTTCAGTGTGCTCTGCTGCACCTCATACCAGTTTGTCCTCCACTGTGGGTTGCTGGCTTCTGAATTAGGACTGGTTTGGGGATTGTCCCTCCACAGGCTGGAGAGGAGGCCACAGGGCAGGTTGTGACCAGCCTCATGTCCTCAGACTCTCCCCACTGATGTGGTTTTGTTTGTTTTTGATAGAAATTTAGGTGTTTTAGAAGTTAGTGACAGCCAGTCAAGAAAAGGGCAACAAGGAATGGACTGTTATCATCTCTTGACATCCCTCTTGTCACACTAAGAGAAATACACATACCCACAGGACTTGAAGCACTGAGTAAATGTGATGTCTCCACTCTAACAAACTGCTATCTGTTCCCAAAGAATTGACTGTATCTTTATGTAATTTCTTATTAAGCCATGAGATGCCTACTGGGATGTAAAGCAAATTGTTTTCTCTGCAGAATTTCTGCTGACATACAAGGGAAAATCCATTCAAGGACAGCATTCACTATATTTTCAGCAAACTTACCAATTACTTATTAATTATATATGGTTTTGGTAGAAAAATGTCAATAACAGCAAGTATTTTATTTTTTTTTTTTACTTCAGTGTTCAGTTCCATATATACCCTGTTTGAGCTGCACTTGACAAACTCAAATTCACTAGGTGGAGAATAGAAGCAAGCATTTGACCTGATGGTATAGATTTTAGACATTTTTTTTGGTTTTAAAATGAAATTTTCACAAAAGGGACTCAATATATGAAATGAAGGTAAATATTTTTGAGTTTTACTTTAACTGTGCATTATGATATAGAATGGTAGCACTTAAGAAAATAAATGATGAAACTTTTGACTAAGAATTTTCTCAGCTTTCAAATATTTTTCTGTGAAAAAAATCTCTTCTGTCATCTAGTACTGTTTTATTTTTGAAAAAGTGAATATATTCCAGGTTCATAGGTCTCATGAGAATTTATTTTCCATGCTGTTTATTCATTGAAAGATATTATTTACATACACCAAAAAGTAGAAAATGACAAGAAGTCTTGTATAAAATACGAGAAGCTTTACTACGTTGCTATTATCCTTGAAGAAAAATTAGTCATGGTATTTCTTCAATTTTACCTACCTGCGAGTTGTTCCATGTGGTCATCCTCTCACAGTAAGATTTACCCAGTCTTGAATCTGAGCATCTGCTTATCTTTGAAGCTTTCTTGTGCTGTGCTGAGTATCCCTGTAGTCCTCCAGGCTACATATCATAGTGTACAGGTCATAGTGTGAATGCACCAGCTGACCTGGCTGCAAGTCAGGCACATGCAGGCATGGTATTGCAACAGCAAGCCTGAGAGAAGCCTCCAGACCAGCAATTCAGAGAACAGCAGCAGTGTAACGTTTTCTTTAGAATTCAGCTCCTGTGTATGCTCCTGCTTACAGAACTGGAGATCTAAGGGAAGCTCTTTGGAGCAGAAACCTTTCTTTTTCATCTTATGTGTGCCTGTGTGTAAAAGTGTGCACTTCTGTGCTCCCCTTGCCAAGCCATCTCCAGGATTCAGTGGGATTCCTGAACCCCATAGCAGAGGTAGGTGGATGCAAAGAAAGCTGTAGAGTGGCTGGTGCAGCATGGACAGGCATGTACCAGGGATTGTCCCTGCAACAGCAGGAAGCGATGGAAGTCCTGAGGCAGTCCCAAGACCCTCTCTTGGCTGAGGGAAGGCAAGTCCCAGTGTGAATTCGTAAGAAGTCTGGGAATAACTTCTGTGCTTTCCCTTCTGATGCTGACTATGTTAATATTATTACTAGTATGGGAGTGCATGTAGGAAAGAACAGACTCCGGAGACTTCTAACTAATTAGGAGATTGCTGGTTGGCATAAGTAATGAATTGTGAGTGAGGTGATACATGTAGTAGTCTGGGTTTTTTACCCTCAAACTGTAATGTAGCATTGTCTTGACTAGGAAATAGAGATTGACCTTGCATTAGTGCTATTCCCATAGAGATGCAGTTGCGTGTTGGATTGGAAATGAAGTCCCAGGGTCGTTCTGATATTGGGCATTTCAATAATACTCCAGTGGGATTAGTCTGTAATAATAATGCCAAAGCAATGCAGATGAGTAAGCATGTCATATATAGCATTATAAGAACAGTAATCATGTGCGATTTAAGACAGCGAAGATGAAAATCAGAATGATGAGGGTATCAAATGGGCCTGGTTCAGAGCACTTGCAGGGATAACAGTCTCTTGTAAGCAAAACCAGCTTAGGTAGTTTAATTTCTTCCTGATATGACTGATATGTACAACAAAAGCTACAAAATCCTTCAGAGCAGCAAACCTAATGAAACTACTATGCATGCCTAGATGACCTTATTTGTCTGAGTGCAATGAGCACTTGACACCACTCCTCCCTTACAGTGCTGGTGCATCTTTTCCCACTGGCCTACCAAGGAAGAGTGCTTAGAAGTCATTGTTCTGTTGGCAGAGGTTAACAGAAATTTGTCATAATAGAAGGTAAGAAGGAACAAGCCTGGTCATCTCTTTCCATGCCAGTAGTTGAAGGGAATTGTATAATTGTTAGCCTGCTTAAAATACTGCTTGGATCATCTGTTCCACATGTACTTTGGGCAGCAGAGTGTTGCCCAGCATTGGATTGCAAACTCAGAACCTATGTAAAAGATCAAAACACATGACAGTATTATGCTATGGCAAAAGATAAGGCATTGCAGTGCAGTGCATTGTTTATGTCCTGTATACACATTGTGGCAAAGTATTTGTTTAAAAAAATTTAAACTTAGATGGGTACTGAAAGCCAGATTGTACTACTGAGAATTACAAAGGAAGGATTCAGCTTGGGAGGTGGGAAGAGAGGGGAATTTCCCTTTTGACTCCAGATTTTATGGTTGAGTATACTGTGAATAAACATGTGTCACACACTGGCAGAGCACCTGAGGTTGCCTCATGGTTGCCAATGTACGGTATCTTTGGTTGCAATATAACTCTTGTATTCATTATGAATACTTACAGGGTTTTATAAAACTGAAAGCAGCACTTTGGTCCATAGCATCTCTACAGCTATGCAATATGTCTGCATGTTCAGAAGCAGGTAATCACATCTGTTCCTTCTGAACTGTCAATGAGGCCAGATGTGAGCAAACATTATGGAAGCTCAACAGCTTCCAGATGGTACCAAATGGTAGTTTGGTGTCAGCCAAATTGGAGAATGCCCCAGTTAGCTCTGCTGCTGTCTGCTTCTGACAACCTGTGTTGCTGAATTTTCTGCATTGCAGAATTTTGTTGTAGTAGAAGCTTTATAAGCATAGAGGAATTCTTATCCAAGCATGACAAGAATTGGAAAATTCATGCTGTATAATGGTAAAATTGTGAATGACTGAAGTGAGGTCATCATCAGCGGCAAAAGATAGAAGAGCCTGTCAGCCACCTAGAAATGGTCAGGAGCACAGGATGATGCTACATCAGAAAAAGATTCAGCAGCTAATCCTAGCAGAGGTGCTACCAAGGATTACAAGCCTGTGCACCAGGACTGGAGTCTCTTCTGAATGATTTCCTCTATCTGTCACCATTTCCTCAAATAGAGAGGTAATGATGGTGGTTTGGCAATTCTTGTTCAGGGCAGCAGTTCTTCGTCGTAAGGTGAAAATGTGTTAGGTCATCTTCTCAGTCCTGTGGAATGCTCTTGAAATAGCTTTGTTGCTATTTCTATAGTGCTACTTCTACACTTACTGGTGAACATTTGAATATATACAAGGACCTTGCTTGGTTTTTGGCTGACTTTTCATCTTTAAATTTCATGCTGCCACAGGAAACTTGCTGGTGCAGTGCAGACATACAGTTTGTTTACAGTGAATATATGATGTTTGTATCTGATCAGTTCACCTAAAAGCTGTGTATTAGTATTGAAAAGGATGATCCTGAGGTGGATGATCCTGCCTTAGAATTTCATGTATTTTTCCAGACTACCTGGGCAGCTGGTGGTTTTACTTAGGTCTGTCCTGACTGGAAACAGTGCACATGTGGCTTTCCAAAGAGTTGCAGTCCTGCTGAAACTGCATATGTAGGTTGCCTTGTCCACCCATTTGCAATAAGGACATCTCTGTTTTGAAAGTTTGAGGCTTTTTGTTGCATGTGACCTGCCTTTGTTGACTGTGAAATTAACTTACTATTTTCCAAGAATGGAGAAACTGCAGAAGAGGGTGTTTTAGCATGTGAGGGAAATTTTATATACACTTAATAATTATGAAAGGCCTTCATTTACTTTATACCTGTTCTGCAGAGAGCTACAGTGGAGCTGTATTTACGTAAAAATAAAGAATAAAACTGTTAAGGTCTGATGTATCTCTGTCTGGGTTCTTGTTATATTCGGTAGTTCCTATTAACATGACATCTGCTAGGGGCCTCAAAGTGAGTCTGAACCAAAATTATAGTTCTGTAATGTCATTGTGTGGTTTACCCTTCTATTTAATCAGTTGAAGTGTATTATAAAACATAGAGGTCAGAGGTAGAGAGCAGAAAATGAGAAAAGATAGCTTTTTTAAAATGTGAAACAACTATCAGTAGTTATAAGTGTTCCCAGACTTCATATTTATGGGTTCTGTATAGTATACTAGCACGTTGGTGTAGTTTTTAATAACCTTTTACAGAACATATGGCTCAAGATTTATCTATATGCAGAGCCTTGTGGACAGAACTTGTGAATTATAACATAAAAAATCTCCAGATGTACATGTTATTTCTCACTAACACAGAATGATTTTCTTGGGAAGAAGGTGACATATTAGAAAGGCAACATCTGTGTTATTACTTACATTTTAATAATGTGAATAATTTTCTTTCAACAGAGGAATTCAAGGGCTCAACAATAGTTGAATTAATGAAAAAAGAAGGCACCACCCTAGGGCTCACAGTATCGGGTGGTATCGACAAGGATGGGAAACCAAGAGTATCTAACCTTCGTCAAGGAGGAATTGCTGCTAGGTAACCACATCTCTAGCTACAAAATGCATTATAAGATGTGATTGCTTCAGAAATATGTACTGCATCAGAAAGGTCACCTGAAAAATATGTGACTGATGCATCTATAATGGCAGCCCATCACACTGGAGAACCTCAGAGGGAAATGGCAACAGCTGGTCTTTCTTTTTGCTCAAGGCTGATTTGATAAAAAACCAGAAATACCAATGAGATCTTTGAAAGTTGTCATAAGACTCATGATATTTCTTCTAAATTATATATGTTTTATTTCTCTATTTTCTTGTCTTTGAACAAAAATTTGAGAGAAGCAGCATAACATACTGAGGGGAAAAAAAGCCAAAATGGAAACAAGAATGACAGTGCTACCATAATTTAATTCTTTTTTAACTCTTCATTAGATAGCTTTGAGATTAAAAAGACTCTAAAGTCATAAGTACCTTGCTTATTACTACAGGGGAAAGAAAAAAGCTTTTAATCATGAGTGAGGCAAGTCAAAAAACATAAGGGTTGAGCTAAATCATCCCAAGTAACTGAGTAGAACATGTGCTTTTGGCCTGGCCCATCTCCTGTTGTTAACTGTGAAAGCAACCAATGTCCAAAAGAACTTTTTTTTTGACGTTTTCCAAAGAGACAGACAAGGATGGGGACATGAAGAAGTTGACTTTCCAGATCCTATGCCCAAACCAGTCAAATCATGCAACTCCTTTATTGTACACTTTGTTTTGTACCTCAGGAATGAATAGTTCTTATTCCAATAAGAACCAATGTTCTTATTTTAATATTTAACGAGCTAGAGCATCTTAAAATGCCACTTTCTGTTAGAAAAAATCAACTCTTTTAGATCTAGATTAATGGAAAAAAGAATTCCTACAATCACAAAACAGTAATTTAAGGAATTTAGTTTGGTTCATCAGATCTGTCTTTCACAAAAGGAGTATGTACTTTTCCCTAGGAGCGACCAGCTGGATGTAGGGGACTACATCAAATCTGTGAATGGAATCAACCTGACCAAATTTCGCCATGATGAGATCATCAGCCTGCTCAAAAATGTTGGTGAAAGGGTTGTGTTAGAAGTGGAGTATGAGCTGCCTCCAGTCTGTAAGTATTTGCAGGGCAAACTGAAAACCTATAGCAGAATAGCAGATGTAGTCAACAGTGAGATGGGCAAGGTTGGTAATAGTCATTGTAGTAGTGGTTAATTTTTAATTTTCTATTCCTAATTTTATTTTTTCCTGTGGCTTATCACAGAGCGTTGAAGCAGTACAAAAGAACTGGCAGTACAGAGGGATGCTCTCAGATGTTTTATTAACAGAACTCCCAATAACAACAGAGCAGAGTTATCAATCTCTGCCTTCTGTTGGTTTGTGGTTTTCTGGGCGTGAGGGTTGGTTTTGGTTGTTTGATTGGGTTTTGTTTTGGGATTTTTGTTTGCTTCTTTGCAGTTTTGAATACTAGAAATTAGATTAAGTAGGTTCCAGGGCAAGCGAATTCTTCTTTTAACAATAAGATCCTCTGAGATGAGACCAGTGAGTATTTGCTAGTTCTGCTTCTGCTTTTCCCTTTCTTCTCTCCATTTGCAGCACCACTAGGTAAACAATATCCTTTGGGACTTTTCTAGTCTTTTCTGGCACCACATTTAGGCAAAATTTCATTTCTAGAGCAGAAGACACAGTGAGGTAGGCCATAAGGATACATGAACTTGAAAGAAATGTGTGACTGAAACAAGGGCTTTCACTGAGCAGGATTTTCTTCAAAACACAAGTTTATGCTCACACCAAACTTACAGAGTTACTGAATGTTTTCCTCGCCTCTCTTTTGCTCTGTCTTTATGTGCCTGTGTCTGTAATGGTGTGTCTGTAGGACAAAATCAGTGTGAGTCGAGTCTATCAAGTATGAAGTGAAAGCCAGAGAAACAGTGAGTTGAACACCTGGGACCTAAAGTGAAGGAGTGTAGGTGGCTGACGGCCACCAAAGGGGCTGCACCAGGCACACCCTTGAAAGAGTGTGTGCTCATTCATACTGCTCACTGGAGGGCAGAAGATGTGGTTTCCTGGTATCTGGCCAGGAGAATCTCAGGTGCCAACTGGGAAGTTCTTGTCTCCTTAAATAGTTTCCTTGCAATAGAATCTAAAAAAATCCATCACTGTCCTTGGTGCTCAGAAGCTGATGAACTTCCCCACTGCTTTCTAGCAGCTGGAGGGTTAGTCTAGTTACATATTTGTTTTTTTATGAGACCTCCTGACAAGCACATTAAAAAATTTTGAATGTTCTCTGTTGATTAGTGTTTGCATGTGGTGAGGGAACTTCACGTTCTGAAGCACAGTATCTGAATTAATCAGCTGAGTTCAGAGTTACTTTGCTGCAGAAATAGTTGTTTGACCAGCATTATTTGTTTTGCATTTATTCAACTGGGCTTTCTTTGGTTTTCATCCTCTTTTGGCATATGTGCCATTCTTGTTCACTGAGACTGGATTTTGACACACGGGTTTACAGTGGTGTTCGTAACTTTAAGTCCTCGGAATTTCCAGCCTCTCCATGCAAGCATAGATAATAAAGTTGGAGATACTTAGCAGTCTGGTTTTTTCCGTGAACTACTAGTGAGCAAGCTGTTTTTGTTAATCACGTAAATTTTCCAGTAAGCCACGTGGAGAAGTCCTGGCACTTCCTTCCAAGCCCCATACCTAATGAAATTCTACTCTTGTTCCTACACTTGCTCCCTCAGAGAGAGGACTGTCATAGTTTCAGTGCTGGGAAATGTCAATCATTTAATAATGATGGATTAAATTTGGCTGAGGAGTGGTAATCCCACTCCCTAGTGCTTCCTTCCATTTCTGAAGTGTTCACAGCAGGAGCATCCAGCTGCTATTTTCAGCAGGAGCCACCTCGGTTTAAAACTGGTGGGTGAGCAGTGTCTGTCTCACATCTGCCTTTTGCTGTTGGCAAGGGTTAAGGGGTCTTTTCCCACAGCAGTCTGAGGCTGGGGTGCAAGGACAGCCACTGAGTGGTTGTTCCCAAGTGGAAGGATGCTGCTGCCATCCCCCAGTGCTGAGCTGCAGGTTTCACCTCTCCCCAGGGCAGGTTACAGGCCACACCAAACAGGGAAGTGTGGATTCATCCTGAGCTACACTCAAGGCTGCTTTCTGTCAATAGAAATGGAGGCAACAGTTGTCTTCTCCTTGTGATTCTTTAAGTCAGTAAAACATTTCCAACTGAAAAGAAAACAACCACATGGGCTCAGTAACATGGTCGTGATCTTCAGGCTGTAGCAGGAATTACTACAGCATGGAGCAGTGCTCTGGAGAGCCATCTTTCACCTGTTTTCCTAAGGAAATGAGATTTATGTCATTTCACTGGGTGGTTTTCCTGGTTCCCTGCAGTAACTTTTTTAATAGGGACTGAAAAATTCCAAAAAAAAAGTACGTTACATACAGTACATTTCCTGGAAATAAACACTTGAGTGAGTAGTGAGCAGGGAAGTCCTCAGAGAGAGAGAGAGGGGCAGAGAGAGCCCTCTGCTCTTCCTGGTGCCTTTCATGATTGGCAGCACACACAGGGTAGCCTGTGGCATCCACTGCCCCCCTCAGGGTATCCTGACAGGGAAACTCTGGTTATTGCAGGCAGGAACATTAAATGACACAAGTTTTCATTAGTTCTGCTGCTCACAGAGCATGTATTTTATAGAGGTGGGTTGGTTTGGTTTTGATTTTTTTTTTTAAATTTTATGTGTGCTTGTACACTTTACAGTATTTGACTGGAAGGTGGAAAGTGTGAGTGCATGTGATTTTGCAGAGTCCTTTTTCCCATTGGAAAAGAGAATTCTTAGACCCTGCCAAAGTTTTACTTGTAAAAGCTAATAGCAAATTGTCTGCTGGTCTCTTAACAGCAGTGGTTTCAAATTCTGTAAAGTGGATTATCACACCCAAATGCAATGGTCTGTGCATTAGGCTTCTCACCTCCTAGTCCAGCTGTACACCAATTCTTTAGTACTTCCAGAGAAAATACTGACTCAGCTAGAAGCCAAAGAACTTTTTTACTAGCTCACCAATTATGATTTTTAGCTAGCGCTTTAAAACCACCACACCAATTATGAGGGAACATATTACATTTTGAAAAAGAAAAAAAAAATCCTTATGATAATAAAATGCATTATGCATCATAATCTAGTAACCTGAGATCAAAGAAACACCCCAAAAATCTTGACTGTCTTCTCTCTAAGTGACAAAAGTAAATTTTCATAGCTCAACAACAAGCTCTGTAGGCACTCTTAAGAATTTTGTGTCATTTTTGTCTCACTGTGTACTTCCATATTTTCTAGCACTCTTCTGTAACTATAAGAAAAGCAAAATTATGCCATAATTTAAACAGTAATACTCAAATTCCTCACATGCTATATAGTCTGTGTCTTCTTTCCAAACCATTGTCCCTTTGCAGAACATCTAGCCCAAAATTCTCTCAAATAGGCAATGAGTTCTATTTAATTGCAGGTCTTCTGTCTGACTGTTCTGTAACTGAGTCTTTCCAATTGTATGACTCAATATGTACCTTAAATTAGAAAAGGTGTAAATCTGTGTGTATAATTAGAAAAATAATAGCCATTAAGGTTTCGATTCTTTTTCTTTTAGCTGTACAAGGATCAGGTCTCATCTTTAGAACTGTGGAAGTTACTTTACATAAAGAGGGGAACACTTTTGGATTTGTAATAAGAGGTGAGTTATTTTGGAGTTTGAAATCTGTATTTTGTTTAAAAAAAAAGTGGTAAGTTTTTTAAGCACTCAGAAGGCTTACGGTTTGTAAAAATCAATATATTACATTTTCCATACCCTCATGTATTGCTTTCATGAGCTGCTCTAATTTTTATTTATGGAAGAACCTTAAGTAATCAACTATGCCAAGGACACATGACAAACTCTGGTCACATAAGACCAGATTCTGCTACCACTGAAATCACCACGAAGATCACAGTTCTTAAAAAATATAATTACCTGTAGTATTGTATATATTAGGCATGAAATTTTATTAATACTGCTGATGGTCTGAATTGTACAACTAAAATATTATCACTGACTTGGAGAACAGAAGAAAAGATGTAGCTGTTAATCAATATACCCCAACAATGAATTATTACTTTCCTTGGGGAAAATGTCTTTTTTATTTAATACATAAATTTCTTAATGAGCGGTCACTCATTCTGAGTATACATAAAGTACAGATTTTTTTTTCCTCTGTGCTGCAAACATTGCAAAGCAATGTGTGTGTACACACTGAGACCACATTTTCAGAGTAAAGGTTCTAAGAAAAAAATACGCAATCCCTCCATACAAATGTTTTTTAAAGATTCATCTATACATAAAGAATGTTGATTTTATTTAGGTAAAATTCAGTGAAGGGTCATATTAATGGTTTGGTCATTTTTTGATCTTTTTAGCCCATCTGTGAAAGTGCATGCTACAAGATGTAGGCTTGCGTTTTGGAAATGAGCTTTCATTAAAAGCATAAAATGAAGGTATACTTTCTCTGATTTTTTCTTTCTAGGTGGAGCACACGATGACAGAAATAAATCTCGTCCTGTTGTAATAACATGTGTCAGACCTGGAGGGCCTGCTGACAGGTACAATTCGTCTTTTCTCTCGAGTTTATGTGAAAGAGAAATGGAGAAAGGTGAATTATTTGGGACAGAAGTTAAGATTTTGAGTGAAATAGATGCATTTAAATGCATCTTTAAAATTCGTGGGTTTGTCTTTAATTGTTGTAATAGGAATAATAACAACTGCAGCAATAGTAATGGGCAACCACAGAGGCTCAGCACATTATGCTGTGTGTGAACTTGAATTTAGAATCTTGCACCTAAAATAATTAGAATAAATTCCTGCAATAGGTCAGAGCACATTTTTTGCATTCTTCAAACAGCTGATGTATCTCTTGCTTTTTAAACTCTAACACCATAATCTTTTACACTTGCAGTTCAGAATAATACTGTGACAACGTTGAGTATTGTATTATTCTGTTAAGATGTTTGTACATTTCTGCATGTGAGGTCACACATAACTTTAGCTAGAAAACTTCTGAGTACAGATTTATGTTCTGGTCATATCTGTATATAATGCCATTTTGTAAATATATAAAGGAAGAATATTCACTTTATTTTTATGTACAAACTGTATTTTCAGAAATGGCATTTGTGTCCTTAAACCATTACAGAAACTCAAAGGGCAGTTTCTTTAAAGCATATTGGTATCTGTAGCCTATGCTGACATTTTTGACCTTGGAAACATTAACTGAGAAGAAAATGTTCCAAGAGAGCATTACTTTTGTTCCCTCACTTTCTTCTCTCCCTCATCTCCTGGTTTCCTTGTTTTTTCTCCATGATTCTTAAGCTGGTAGTGTTAGTACTTTATTTTCTTTTATAATTCCGAATAGGTTATAAGATATGCCTAGGAGACAGAATTTTATATTTAGAGCTGAATTACTTCCAGGTAGGAAGAAAGGAAAAATGGAATTATGCAAGTAAAAGATATTTTTAAAGAAAATCAATAAATGAGCATTCATATTTTGCAATCTGCTTCAGCACCCATGTGTTTGCACCTCGTGTTTATTTTTAAGAAAACATTGGAGGAGGATGTGTTTATTTATGTATGTATGAAAAGAGAGTTGTGTGGACAAGGCAGAAAGAAAGCATATGTTGAGCAGAAGCTATACTTAGTTGCAATTTAACGTGACTTGATTATTTCACTGTGTGGTAAGCTGTTTTACAGTCGCTGACTTTCCAATTAAAGCAATTTCCTTTCCACTGCGCCCTCTGATCATTCTCACTGTCAAAGTAAATGTTAAGTGTTAAGGCAAGAGGGATGGGTGTCAGGGAGGGTGCAAGAGAACCGCTTTGCATAAAAATGGTATTATCTCCAAATCAATTTATCTTACACTAACAAAGATCATTCCTTTATTCTCCCTTCAGAGAGGGCACAATCAAACCTGGGGACAGGCTGCTGAGTGTTGATGGGATCCGACTGTTGGGAACAACACATGCTGAGGCCATGAGTATTCTCAAACAATGCGGACAGGAGGCGACTCTGCTGGTCGAATATGATGTCTCAGTGATGGGTAGGTTGTGGGATAGGAAGTGGGGCTGCAATACTGGGAGCTATCTGTGATGTTTCCCTGCCAGTTCTCCATGAGCTACTTTAGAAGTGATTGTGACCTGTTACGCTCCTGGTAGCACTGCTATTCCCTTCGGCATCGTATCATTAATCTTGGGTTCATAAGGAGGTGAGCAGTATTTTACTGTAATTTAGCATTCTGACATTGCGTGGTTTGTAGGCTGAAACCGTAGTGTGGGTTCTAGCAAAGTAACTTTTCCAGTGAGTAGTTTATAATAAAGGTTAATGAAGTGTAAGCATTTCTATGTCCCATGAAAGAAGGGAATACTTGATCTAACAAGAATTCTTTTGCCTTTTGCCAGTACTGCTAGTTGGATGAGACATAATTAAAAAGTCACAAGACTGCCACAGAGAAAAGAATAGGGAAGAGAAGGTTTGTTAAGAAATACCTAGGTGGCAAATCACGGCTTGAAAAATGAGCATACAAACTTTGATTAAACTCACTGAAAATGTGGAAGTCAAGTAGACCAGATGATTTTTATCAAGAGATTTGGAATTTACTTGTTTCTATTTGTTTTGGAAATTGTCATATCCCCTCAAGTTTTTCAAGATACAGAAAACTCATAGCAGCAAGAAACAGAAATACTCACCAGTCAGCCTGAAATATTTCTCGACTGTTCTTTTTCTGCTGAGTTCTACAGTCAGGTTTCTAGCCTAGCAGTATAGCAGCCTCCTAGGGATTTGTGAAATAGCACTGTCAAACTTCAAAGCCTTGGAAAAGATTAATACTGAAAAGAATAATGTCAGATATTTGCTTATTCTGGAACAGACCTCTTTATTCTTCTCTGAGACAGAGATTTCTCTTTTTTTATTACAATATATGTTTCTGTTTACTTAACTGTCAAGGATTGAAGTGGCAGGTTTGTGTAGTGTCTGGCAGGCCTACAGACAGCTGTACAGATTCATGTCCAGAAAGGTGGGGACAGCTCAGATGAGCTCTAGCTCCTGAGGAGAACTAGAATTTAGATGTCTTCATTTTCTTCTTTTTCCTTGAAAGACGATGGATGACCAAACCCTGTCTATCATCACAGTAAAATCAATATCCTTTCTACTCCACTTTTTCTAAAATGAACCCCTGGCTTTAGACAAAGTTCCCAGCAAACTTTAATTATACCCCAGCGGGAGAGTCAGTCTCCATTTCACGGAGGATCTTTCAGAAATCTTTGCAGGTTTGTGTAAGGAGGAGGCCACATGGTGAAATACTCTGTTGTGTCCTAAATTGCAGCTTGTTCAAGGCAGGAATCTTTGCAGTACTATCTGGATAGAGCTCAGTTTAGGAGGACACAGAACTGTCCTGGTTTAGGGAAAAATTTGGGAGAAAACCTCCAGTGGGGCTCCCCCCGGGAAGCAAACCCACGTGGCCCTTTTTTTTCCACCCCCCAACCGGTTCGGGAAGAGATTTCTCTGAGAGAAGTGGAAAAAACCTGTTTATTTCACAGGCACAGCACTACCCAGCACAAAAATGAATGATATCACATTACAAAACCTCTCGCCTTTCAGAAGAGATGACAAACTTCAGAGGGTCTCTTTCCTGTGGGTGTTCGCTCTGTTATCAGTCCCTCTGGCGCTGGAAAATGCCGCTGCCCAGGCTGGGCTCCCGGTAGTCCACGGGTGCAAGCTCCCGGTGCTCCCCCGAGTCCCCAGTCCAGAGCAGGTTCGATTCGTTTCGAAAAAGGGAAAGAAAACAGTCCAGGAAGACCTCTCTGCTCCGGCTAGTTGGAAAGCCAAGGCGATCTGTGTCTTGTTGTCTGTCTGTGCTGTAGTCAAAACTCCCAATGCGGGGGGAGCAAGTACAGTCTCTGATAACAGACTCGGTGCTTCTTTTCCACTCACTTTTACTCTTAGATGAAATTTTAAGAATACAAAACCTGTGTCTGCGTTAGGTGGACAAATGGGGATACAATTTAACATCATAATCAACCCAGGACAAGAACTTAGTTGGAAATTTCAGGCTTTTAACTCTAAAGGTAGCACCTACCAATCGGTCTCTTCATGTCGTTTTCTCTCTGCATAAACTCTATTGTTCTCAGCACCAAATCTGGATTTATCATCCCTGCATTCCTGGCAATGAATGTGTTATCCAAGAGAAATTAAAGGAGGTAGAAGAACCTCCACAAGAAGACTTGTGGAGTCAGAAAGAAAGAAAGAAGGAAATCAGACACTGGGAAATGTATGGAATGGTGGTCCAGCAGAGTCTGCAAGAAGAAATAAGGAGGGAACCAGTAGACTATCTTTCTAATGCATTGTGATTTTTTAGATATTACCTAGCCCACCAGTAGGTTTTGAATTTTCTCCCGATTTGTGTGCCCTGCATAGTACTTTAGCAGTGGTGTGAACAAAAGATTTTGTTGGGGTGCTCTCTTGTGCAGTTGGGTTATGACCATGGTGCAAAGGCTGAAAATAATTCATCCTAACCCATTGAATCCTGGTCCAGGAAACCTTTGCTGATTTGAATCTTCTCTTAGTTCTGCTCCAGAGCAGGAAACAGTGTTGGGAGTAACATGAAAGAGAGAACATGAGTCATGAAGAGAAATTTAAGAATTACAGAAATGTTACTCTTTTCCCCAACTCTTGTGTTACCCATAAACTGTTTGTAATGCTATCTAAGGGTTGATGTGAATTTGAAAATAGGCTAAAACAAAGGAAGAACATTGGGTAAGGTGACTTATCAATAACAGATGCTTGAAAATAGACTAGTAGGTTAGCCTGCTTGGAAGAGGCAGAAACAATCCAAAAGTTACACAGAAGTCTAGTGTATTCTGTAGGGTCCTCCTGGTATAAGCTGTCAGTAGAATATATTACTCCTAGAGATATAATTATACCACTAGTTGCTTTAATACCTTCTCTTCTGTTAGTGTTTGGTAATGTCCTGTAAAGTAGCATTGCATGTGGCCAGAACTGGAAAGAGCCATAAAATACATTCTGATTGTATGAAATTGGAACTTGATTTGAAATGGTTTTACTAGACGAAGAAAATAATCCTGAACTATTTTTCAACTACAGTCTTGTAGTGTGTATCTGACTTTTCTTATTCCTGTAAGCATAAGCTGTTTCAAAGGTGCTATATTTCTCAAAGTTTAGTTCTTCCAGCTGAAGTCTTCAAGAGGTCACTTGGGAAGCTTGTACATTTTATTGTTTCTGGACCCTAGACAAACTGGAGTAAAAAAAGCATCAAGGGGTTCTGTGCAGGGTAATCAAGTGTGTATATAATGTAAGAGATGTGGCTATTCCTGTTCAACTCTCTGAGGTTACACCTGTGCTTGCTTAAGTACATCCTGAAGTCTCCTGCTCAGCTGGGTCCTAGGAAATAAACTTGTCAGTTCAGCTTCTTGGAAGAGATTTTGGTGTCTGGAGTGTACTGCTGTGTAGTTTCAAAGAGACTTTGACATAGTAGGAGTTTGAAAATACCAAGATAATCCCTGAAGAAAATTGGAAAACCTAATTTCTGAGAAAGTATTTTATAATGTGATAAAAGTTATATTTGAAGTTGTGGAGGATGCAGTCTTTCAAATGCCTTTCTGTTTTGCAAAACACATTCTCCAGTCTTGAAGTACTGTAATTGCTTACCTTTCTTGTTGATTTTAGAGGAGACTACCTCTAAAATCTGTGTTTTTTAATTTTGGGATGCTTTAATAATGCTGCACTTCATTGTTTGCAAAGGACATGGATATGGTGACCCGCTCTACATAAAACTGTACAACAGAAATAACATGATCTTTGTGGGTTTTATTACTTTTTTCTGTAATCCTTACACCTTAAGTGTCCAACCTTTCTGGCCATGTGGATCACCTGTTTTAGTCTAGTGGTGAGAAAGGTCTGCACAGTGCAGCTCTCTGTGCCCTATGATTTACACCTGCACCCTCATATTGAGGAAGGGGAGAAGTAGAGGCAAGGTCGTAACTAGCAGCAACTTGCTGCCACTGTCAAGATAATTTTGCAACCTGAATCCTTTCCTGTGGCAATCAAATATAAAATATTAATTCCAAGCTATAAAGTTAGGTTGGGGAGGCTGAAATTCTCACTGTTAGGAAGTGGTCAGATTAAGTATCATAACTAGCTGCTGACATCTAGAGAGTTAGAATGCAACACTAATAGCTACAAAGATTCACAGTACCTCTGTCTAAAACAAGAAATAAAAGTTTATCAGTACATTGAAGCTGAGGAGATGCAGTTTCCCTTCAGGTTCTCAAAGACCTGCCATTATGCCACTGGGCTCTGTGTTGTCTCTAATTGGGGTTGCATCTGCATGGGTAACCTTCCATATTTTCTCTGAAACGGAGCAATCAGACAAGTTCAAAGGTAATGACTACCTTGAGTTTAAATTCTCACCATTTTTATGTAACTCCAGTTCATAAATGGCTGTTGGTGATCTTTTGAGCAGCCTACTTTTTAAGTCTTGGATGCTCATGCTGTGGCAATCCTTGAATCAAGGATACTGTAGTTAAACAAAACTAATAGCTTTTGCCAGAACTTTGGCACAAAAGGAAGATTTTTTAGTTGTTTGCACTTGTGAGACAACATCTTTCTCTCTTACCTCTTCAATGGGTGTTTGTTACTTCAGAGCACTCTGTGGTGTTCAGGAGTGAAGGAACATATGGCATTTCCAAATTCCATATGTTTCTCTGGCTTCTTTAACAGTTCTAGCTCATATTTGAGCTAGAATAGATTTGCTGGAATGTGGCACTCTGTAAGTGTTCTCTACAAAACAGAAATAGTCAGCTTGTTTTCTGCTGCAAATCTACCAGAGTCACCCTGACACAGAACCACTCGATTTTAACTAGGGCAGCACCCTCTAATTTCTGAACTCAATGTTTAACACTGATAGAATTTTCTAGAAAGGGGATTTTTGATACAGACATTTGCTAGTAAATCTTTTTGCTAGCCTCATCCAAGGCTTCTGCCTCTTTAAGATCACCCATTAAAATAAGCTAATTAATTAATTAA